TGGATTTCGACGAGTAGTGCGCAGTCTTTTAGCATTTTCCGCCGTCGGATAATACAACGTTACATCTTGTCTATCGAAGGGGGCAGTGTAAATTACCGGCTGATGTAGCTCGCGCACTTCTTCGGGCCCGAGGAGGCATGGCCATCGATTTGAATTTCAACACGGACGTCCTGTCTTCTCGTATTAGAAAAAACCTTGACAGTAGTTCAAATCTTGCTCACACCGGTGGAGAGGTTGCGGGACTTCAGATGCTCTATCCATTTTGTCCGCTTATGCTGATTTACCATTTGCCGAATCTCCAAATTGAGATCCCTTAATCGCCAGGTTATGCTATTTATCGGACCACCGCTAGCGATTCTAATATCCGGCGAGCTATTACAGGTGCCCATAATTTTGATGGGGTCTTCGTCATTGATTGTGTTGGCATGTTGCCCAAGTATATATTTAATATTTCGAGGTCGATATCGCCTGACCGAATAGCTATACCCTGATATTTAGGGATAGTATCCCTGCGGTCGATGTTGCCATCAATGATACGATATTGATACGAGGGCTAGGCCTCCATTGAAACCTGCACAACTCAGAAGAACTGAGCGGCTGTTTAACTTGGTTTTTTGGACCGCAGCTATCGACTCGATCTTGCTTTGAAGTCCGTTGCAGGTAAATTGTTAACGTCGGGTTTGTCTATTTTTGTTTGTGATGGCAATACCGAAAAGCGCATTTCAAGAGAATATGATGAAAAAATAAGTATTTTTCAAAAAAACTCAACATCTTTAAACATACCGTATATGCTTTCCATAATATAACCTCTGTTAAGGATATACAGTGGCGAGCAGAATTGAGTGCACGTTTACAAAACTGACTTTCATTACCCATAAAAATATAACCACACAAGCAAATCCAAATTTTGTTTTATTTTTATTATTTAATTCGTAACAAATTCTAGTAAAGAAACAATGACTGAAATAAATTTCGAAGAGTTTGAAAGAAAAAACAAAGGAAACTCGCATAAACTCAGTTTGGCACGTGGTATGACTTCCAAGTATTATAATAAGAAAATATATAAGGTTGTCAAATATCTCCCTTCCGCTTTTTTGCTCTTCATTCAATGCTTTATAAAAAGTTTTACAGTGATCGGACATATTATATATTTACATTTGATGGACTTTCAAATTATAATATAATATGAATCGAAAACTTTAAATTCTAGCAGCTGGTGGAAATGTTTCATCATAATCGACTTAATATTTTTGGATAAATCCTCGTTGTTCTTTGTTCAATGTTTTTGTTTTCTGGCTATATAATTACCAGGTCCTATTTATTTCATTGGCAACGTGCCTATATTTTATTTCATCAAATGTATTTGGGACATCGTTAAAAATAGTACACGAATTTAATAATATTTTTTCCAGCTGTTATTGTCTTCATTGTGGGATATCTGTGGCTTGTCCTTTAGTCTCTCATGTCTTCTACCCATTACTTTGATATCTTTATTGTTGTTGTCAAAATCATCAATTTGATCACCATTTTCACTTAGCTGTTAAGTTGTTTTACATTTTGAACTGTCATTCGAGAAATTTAATTCCTTACTTTCATTCATTTTCTTTTCTTACTTTCATTCGGAAAATGTACATGATCAGATACCTTACTATCTTTCAAGAAGTCTTTTTCATCACATTCGTTAATTTCATTAGAGAATTCTGTTTGCCATTTTTCCCTACTTCACCCCAGAAATTTTCATTATTTTAATTTACTTACTGTTTTTATTATTCACAGCTCTAGGACTAATCATATTCATTTCATCGACAACTACATCTCTTGCAACAATAAATTTTTCATTACAGCATCCCATAGTTTAAATTTTGGTTCATAACTAACAAAAATACTTTTGTATGATTTATAATTTTAATTTTTATTATGCACATACTATATACAGTCGAACCAAACACCCGCAGTGCTCTTGATTGGGCTCTCTATTGTGCCATATCTCATATGGAGTCATTGCCCTATCACCACGTTCTGTTTGGAATTGGGTTAACTATAATATGATACAGTTAATACAGCTTCCCCTCAGAAACTTTGATTTAATTTTGCATAATTGGCCGAGCCTTTTCAGTAATGGTTCTTATCATCCGTTCAGAAAAACCGTTTCATTGAGGTGTGGTTGGCACTGTCAAATGATAAGTTATTCCTTTCATAACACAAAACTCACATATCTCATGGGGAAAATATTCTCTACCATTGTCATTATACAAATTAACAATCTTAAGATTAAAATGCCCTTCACTCTTTTACTACAAAATCTTTAAACATGTGAAATACATCTGACTTGTGTTTCATTAAATAAGTTACACAGTAATTTGTAAATTGCTCTACGAAGATTACATAGTAATTTTTGTCATTTAAAGTTACCGCTATAATTAGACCACATACATCTGAATGTATTGGGGTTCCTTAATTTTTTTCCAATTAAACAAGGTTCACATATCTCATCTGATAGCTCCAAATATTAAGAAGACTGTTGTCAGTGAATATGTTTTTTCTTAAAGGGTTTGTTTCGAATTTCTTTAATAAATGTAAATGCAAAAACCATGTTGTGATTTTGCGATTTGAGTTTGCTTATTTTCATTATTCTTACATAATAATAGCAATATTTTTTAATGTGCTCCTCTTAGCCAAAATGATATCATTTTATATTATATTATTTTTAGGTTTGCTTTTAAATGATTTCTTTGGTTTAGTCACCCTATTTCTAAATAAGTTATTTGCATTATTTGGAATAAATGACTTTCCTACTAATATCGTTATTGTCATTATTACGTTTGATTTAATGATCTAGCAACCTATTTTTCACAAAAGCTAATGTCAAATTTAATTCAGTTAATGTGTCTAGTCACTCAAATATTCTATTAGCATACTTTTTGCACATATTTCTGCTTTTTTCTAGGTATCATCCCCTACATCGGGCAATTTGTTATAAATAAGATTTTAACACATCTAATTATGCAAATAAAGCCGTAATTCTAAATTTCCAAACAATATTTTTCGCCATTAAACGCTTTGCCTTTTTATACTCTCGCAACCTGTTGCTACAGAGTATAATAGTTTTGTTCACCTAACGGTTGTTTGTATCACCTAAAACTAATCGAGTTAGATATAGGGTTATATATATATAAATGATCAGGATGAAGAAACGAGTTGAAATCCGGGTGACTGTCTGTCCGTGCGTGCAAGCTCTAACTTGAGTAAAAATTGAGATATCTTAATGAAACTTGGTAGACATGTTTTTTGGTACCGGGAGACGGTTGGTATTGCAGATGGGCGTAATCGGACCACTGCCACGCCCACAAAACGCCATTAATCAAAAACAAATAAATTGCCATAACTAAGCTCCGCAATAAGATACAAGACTGTTATTTGGTACACAGGATCACATTAGGGAGGGGCATCTGCAGTTACATTTTTTTTAAGTGGGCGTGGTCCCGCCCCTAATAGGTTTAATGTGCATATCTCCTAAACCGCTAAAGCTATAATAACAAAATTCACTGGAAGCAAATGTTTTTAGAAGCTCTACCTACAGTGTGAAAATAGTTGAAATCGGGTGGCAACTCCGCCCACTCCCCATATAACGGTACTGTTGAAAACTACTAAAAGCGCGAAAAATCAAGCACGAAACACGCCAGAGAAATTAAATATTATCTCTGGGATGGTATGAGATAACTTTATAGGAACCGCGTTCAAAATTAGACAGTGGGCGTGGCACCGCCCACTTTTAGGTGAAAACCCATATCTTGGGATCTGCTTAACCGATTTCAACCAAATTCGGTGTATAACGTTCTTTTATATATTTTCGTTCGTATATTTCTATGTCATAGTGCAAAAATGGGCGAAATCGGACAACAACCACGCCTATTTCCCATATAACACCATTTTAAATTCCATCTGATTCACTTTCCACTATGCATATCAAGCAACAATGATTATATCGGGGTAAAACTTTGCGTGAATAATACGTTTAAAGTATGACACCTTGTTACCAAAAATTGTCTAAATGGAACCAAAACTGTTCAAGCCCCTAAGTACTAAACATGTGAACCCATGTGCCTATATCTGACCTTCTACCGAAAATATCAGTCAATCCAGAAAGAAATCTCAAACGAGTATACCATTTGACTTTGCGAGAGTATAAAATGTTTGGTTACATCCGAACTTAGCCCTTCATTACTTGTTAATTTTACGTTATACACACAGCTATGTATATAAATTAAGGGATACACACGTGTAATTTAATTTAACAATCAAACTCAATTTTTAAAAAATTCTTTCTATTAGGCAGGAACTGACATAATAACCTGTTGAAAAGCAAACTTCTAGTTGACAGAATAATAACAACTATATTATTTTATCAACGGTACAAAAGAAAAGAAAGTGAAAAATAATTTTCAAACTGAACAGTGTGACAAACCTATTCATTCTAAACTTAGTATTGTATAATGTTAATTTTGTTTGAGGAATAGGGATATTCCAACACTGAATCTCCATATGCCAATACTAAAGACCAGTAGGTCTATATATGGCGTGACAGTCGGCCAGTATAGCCTAACCTAATATTGTATGATTCTCAATGGTTCTACTTGTATATAGCATAGATATAATGTGGTGCTCATCAATAGTCTACTTGTTTTAGGAATTGTAGTATTTAACATGTTTTCGAAATAAAAGCAAAGGTTTGTTCAAATTTTGAAGTAGTCAATGAAGAAAAATTAGTTCAAGATTTCATTTGTTCAGGTTATCATGTGTTATGGTAAAGCATATTGCATTTATGCATCTACGTTTATTTTATTAAATAATTAGACAGCATAGAAAAGTAAGAAAATCCACATTTAAACATGAGAATGAGACGTGTTTTGTTTGTTTTCTTTTAGAGTATTAAGACTTGCATTGAAATCGCTATCATATTAATTAATATACCTGTATCGATTTTTCATTTTCTTTTATAGAATGATTTGAAGAATCAACTTAAAGAAGCTGGAGCTAAGTTAGTTGTAATTGATTTTTTTGCAACTTGGTGTGGGCCATGTAAAATTATCGCTCCTCGGCTGGAGGAATTGGCAAAAGAGTTCGAAGGAAGAGTCGTTGTATTAAAGGTATGTTACTGCATTACTGTGCGCATTCCTATTGTGCACAGGCTTTTAAATGTTATTCTTTTTTTAAGTAAATATGAATAAAATATAGATAATTACTTGTATTGAATTAAGAAAGGAGTCAAGTGTTTTATATTTATTTCTAGTTATTTTATTGCTTTGTTAACATTCAGTAATGTGATGCATGTAATCATTCATAATAAGAATAAATTATAGACTCCTACTTTTTTTGAACTAAAACTAATAACATTGAGTTTAAAAAGAATTTATACCAATGTTCAAAAACAAAGCATACAAAAACAAGTACTTTTTGGTATTGCTATGAAGAATCACTTGTTGTTGACTACCTGTTAGGGGAAGTGTGTCAATTGTCATCGAAACCATTTAGCGGTATGTCTCTGAAACACGCTGTTTCGACGGGGTCGGTACAACGACAACAACAACGGGGCATGCATTTCGACTGCAAGGATGCCATTCACTTTTTCGTGTTCATTTTGATAGTATGTACTATTCATATATACGATGCCTCTTATGAACGCCTCGAGCGCACTTACACCTGCAGCCACGCACAACTTAAAATTAACAAATTTCAAGTGTTACGCATATTTGGCAACACTTTATAGCGGTATCGAATTTTATTATTTAGAAATAAGTAAATGACCTAAATTCAGCAGGAGACTAAACTACAAGGTGCATTCCAAAGTAAACAGGACTTAAAAAAAAAAAAATTTTCAAAATAGTCTCCTTCTGCTTTAATACAGCTTTTTGCACGGTCCAAAAGCATGTCGAACGAGTGTTTTAGCTCGTTGCCCGGTATGGCCGCCTGTATGCCGGCGCAAGCCTTTTGAATGGCCTCCACGTCTGCATAACGCTTTCCTTTCATCGGCAAATGCATTTTTCCGAAAAGGTAGAAGTCGCACGGTGCCATATCAGGTGAATACGGGGAGTGGTTGATTGTTAAAATGTGATTTTTGGTCAAATAATCGGCCACAAGCGTCGATCGATGAGACGGCACATTATCGAGCAACAAACGCCAACTTTGATCTTCGCGATATTCGGGCAGAACACATCGAATACGTCGCACCAAACGCTTCAAAACTCCAAGCAGAATACCGCATTAACGTTTTGGCCGGGTGGAACAAATTCTTTGTGGACAATACCCTTGGAATTATAAAAACAAATCATTGTCTTCACTTTTGACTTCTCCAGGCGCGATGTTTTGGGTTTCGTCTCATTTCTCACTTATGTCCTCACAACCACTTTGAAAACGTTGAAACCGCCCATGCACTCTGCTACGGGATAGGCAATCATCGCCATAAACTTGTTTCATCAATTGAAACGTTTCGGTAAAAGTTTTACCAATTTTAAAACAAAATTTAATGTGGGCTCTTTGTTTGAAGCTCATTTTCGCACAGATGACAAAAACATACTGACACTTAAAACGCAATAACTTCACTTCCAATAGATGAAATGTCATGAAATTTTTACTGGAAGTCGATAAAGGATAACGCACTAGTCGACATATAGATGGCGCCACTAGAGTTTACTTTGTTACTTTTTTACTGTATACTTTGAAACGCACCTTGTATTTGAAAGTTAGTGGGGCTTACAAAGTGAGCTTGAAATATAGTAACTAACTTATACTATAATTATAGTTTATTTTCTTATATTCATTTGAAATACAAAGTTAAAGTTATTAATTTAAAAACATGAAATCGAACGCTTTTGTATAAACAAAGAAAAGCTATGTTGTTTTATTCACTAAACGAAAAAAATTTAAGACTATAATTATATTTAGGTAATATAATATAATTTACTTGTGCTTACTCCCGAAAGAACGAAAAAAACAAAAAAAAAATTAAGAAAATATAGTGGTACGTTCCGGTGTATGAAAGCTGTCCCCGCTAAGATGTCAAAACTGTGCTGGCGACTTTCACGCCAGAGTGAGGCTGGTCGACTTCCCCGGGGCCCGAAATATGGTTGTCTGTATCCCTTGGCCGGGTAAAAGTAGCTTTTGTGGAACTCGAGGCATCGCTAATCTAATTGAATTTTTTTATTATTAAAATAATATTTCAAATTATTCCACTGTTTGTGAATTTCCAACAATATTTTCGGAAGCAAAATTCTAAAATATAATAATATATGTAGTTTTATTTTGAATAACTATTATTATTATACATTATTATTGCACATTCATATATATATGTTATATACAATACAAGTATATATAAATACATAGTCCTACCATAATAACTTTTATTAAAAGTTAGGCCTTGAAATGATTAGTAATGCATACATATATTAAATGAGCGATGTACAAAATTTTATTAAAAATGGTCATAATATTTTGTATTCACACAAGCCTTCACACGATTCGGCTATTGATCAATAGCAGATCGCACAGTTTTTATTGGTATTGACGATCTACAAGAACCAAATATTTTTTAGACATATAAAACTTGTTTGTGTTTCCATATTTTCCAACTTTTATCCCAAACTGTAGTCCGATGGATTTAAATCTGGACTTCCATACGGTCAATCACCTGTGCTACTTGGCAATCTTGCTGGGAGATCCTATGCTCTCCATCCAAGAGAGTATTGCTAAACCGCTTTAAAAACCGTTACAGCAACTGGATGGTGACCACATTGAACCCTTGGAACAACATTTATTGAGTCTTTGGAAGCTCTTGCGTATATTTTTCCGTCTTGCTTATTTAAATCTTCTTCAACTGTTAATATTTTTTTTTATTTGTAAAACGGATACATTCTTGGTCGTTGACCACGTACCACTGAAGACACCGCTTGCATCCGATAAGCCTAATTTGTTTCAAAGGTGATATCAGAAGATGACCAGTCAACCAACGGTACACATTGCCATTGATCTGGTCGATATATCCATTTTTCTTGACTTAATTTTGTGTTTTCAAAGCGATCTCTGCGATTGCGTTCGCGAACAATTTTTATAGTAATTGGTTCGAACCACGCAAGGACGACTCTTCTCCTGACATCAACAGAAGACGTTTGAGAAAAACGACCAACAGTGCGTTCTCAAAATTTTGAAGAGAAAAAGAGAAAAATTGAGATGCACATAAATTTCACTTGCGCTTAGTAAAGCAATCCCCGCAATACGATTTTCTTTCGCTCCGCATTGCATTGTTAATAAGCGGAAATAAACACTGAAGTGATTATTAGGTATAAAACTTCATACAGTTTACAAGTATAATAAAAACACATTTCTCGTAAAATTTTTCCACGCAGTATGCATTGTAAACTTTGTAACATAATTAATGGCAAGACTAAATATATCTATTGAAATTCGAACACTTAAAAATATATACATAATTATATTTTTCAGGTTGATGTGGATGAATGCGAAGACATTGCTATGGAGTACAACGTCTCTAGCATGCCAACTTTTGTATTTATTAAAGGAAGTCAACAGATATATTCCTTTGCAGGGGCAAATGCCGAAAAATTAGCGGATTACGTAGAGAAGAATGCATAAATTTAAATTCGAATTAATTGTATATAATTTTTTAATGCTGTAAAGTTTCTTAAACCTTATGCTGTAAAGTTTCCAATCTTCATTTTGAACAATAAAAAATAGTAGTCGTTTGAGATCATATTCTAAATAAAATTGGATGTAGAAACGTTTTCACTGTATTTATTTTGGATTGTTTGTTATTGAAAATATCTACTTAACATCATGACGATCATAGGTACATTTACTTCTTCATTAGATCTGAAGCAAAGATCGGACACGAGATTAGGGGAAATCCCAGAAACACAAGCTTGGATCTCTACAGGATGATAATATTAGCCAAGATACTTACGTGCATAACTCACATGAAAGGTTGAAAGAGGCGTGACCGTGTTCACGAATGTTCTTAATACAGCTTTTCATTACGCGTGCCCTACCTTAAGCACAAAACGAAGCCCCTTGGTGGAACAAGTAGCTCGGGTCTTCCAGACACAGAGTACGGGAATTTTTCAATTTGGCTAAACTAACGGAAAGCGAGGACTGTTGGAACGAGTATAAAGATCTCTTTAGGCAATACAAAAAGTTGATGCGCAGGACAAAACGAAAGTCCTGTAAGAACTTTTGTAGCAGTTTTGAAAATACTAACAAGGTGGCGAGACTCAGGAAACTTTTATCCAAGAGCTCCACTTCGCCCGATCTAATTTCCAAGAGTTGCGGAGAATGGACGAAAAACTGTGATGACTCAGTAGAAGACCTATTCCATTTTCTGGCTGTAAGGCCGCGATTAATCCGAGCTATGAAGAAATAAGTGCTGTAAACTTTGCGGAGTATAACATTACGGAAATTTAGATAGAATGGGCGATCGCAAACCGCTCATTCGACCCATTTAAATCTTCCGGTACGGATGGTATCATTCCAGCCATGTTGCAAAATGCGTTTTGTCTATCCGTGCCGTGGGTAAAATCGATTTTTAGGGGATGCTTGAAGTTCAACTCTGTGCTGAACTCATGGGAAGAGGCTAGAGTAGGGTAGTCCAACCTACGCGAATAAGGTTAGGTCTATAAGCTTAACTTCTTACCTGCTGAAAATATTCGATGAAATTCGCATTACATGGAAGCGCCCCCTGGAAGCTTGTCCTCAGAGATGAGTGCTATTTCCGCTCCTATGGACATTAGTGGTCAATAAACTGTTAAGGAACTTAGACGGCCACGCCATTAACAGTATTATGACCACCACTCTCAATACAGTCCAGAATTGGGCATCGATAGCGGGTCACTGGGAAATACAGAATACCTCCGTGGAACCTCATTGCGATAAATGGGACACAACCGTCTCTCAAGGAACGCACCATATACCTTGGGGTAGTCTTGGACAGCAAATTGCTGTGGAAGAACAAGGTAGATGAAATAGTAAGAAAGGCCAGCAATGCCTTATATATGTGAAGGCAGATGCTCGGCACAACCTGGAGTTTTCTCCCTCTTGCATTGGTGCTACACAGTGATTGTAAGACCAAACATTTCAGTAACAGGAAATTATACATGTATAACCTTCGGGTATAGCTCGGTGGGTAATGGAGGATTGGCAAGCACCGACTATATGATCCCACTTTTCAACTGGGAAAGAAGTTCTGAGTAAACATAGAAAAAGATGGTTGCCGTAAAGACATATTAACTGCGCGAAACAAATTAAATATTTATACGGAGGACGGAGCTGGTACTGTCCAGAGTTAGACATAAGGCAACCTTATAAGCATCGCACCAATACTGTATATTTCAAGCAGAGGCTATTGTCACAGTCAAGCACATTATACAGTCAAGCAGCTATCAAAGCTTTAACCTCGTTCCGCATATCGGGCAGAAGTGTCTTTGTTAGCAGAGCAGTTGGGGAGAGTGTCGCCAGAAGCAATCGACTTCACTTCTACTGGGTGTCAGGTCACAAAGGCATCAAGAGCAATCAGATAGTGGACGATATTGCCAAGGGTGGTGTACGGCTGACATCCGAAAACGTGAACAACATTGGAAAACCCATGCATTGTCTATATGACAATCTAGATAGAAGCGTGGCAACGAAAACGCGATGAAACGATGTGCCTGTGTGCAAAACTGCAAAAGTCATGTGTAAAACGGTAGATTGGAAATGTACAAAATCCCTACCGGCACTCGATAAAAGGGACTATAGAAAAATTAGCGGAATAGTCACTGGTCACTGATTGGTGGCGGCACACACCTGCAGAATGGGGTGCAACGATTTATAATAAGTAATAATTTAAACTTATGTATGTCTGGAACCGTTGCTAACCAACTCAAGTCTTTCGTTGCGGCCTTTGATGTTTTTTTTACGTTTCTCATTAACAGATGGTAGAGTTGCCGTTGCTTACAGTCGGCTTTCTTTTCCCATCGTGGCGTCCTCGCCCGAAGTGCTGTCGTTCTCATCGTCCACGTCATCAGGATAATCTGGTGGTGACTGACACCATGAGCATGAGGTAAGTCCGTTGGAATCATCGGTATACGCGGAAGAAGCTCTTCTTTGTATTTTCCCTGATGATCTTGGCTTCGATAATGTTATTCGTTCACAGTCAGTCATGATGGCAACAAATTTTTATTTTAGTTGCAAATTATGTGGTGGTAGCCCAGGCAATTTGAATGAATTTAAAAATTCTGTGGGAATAAAATACATGCCATTCAAAATGGTGCTTCGATAATGTTTTTGCTGATTTTTAACGATTAATATTGTGTCATTGCAAAGACGTGTTAGGTTAAAATTAAGACAACCTTTAGCTCAAAACCTCAATTGGATAATTCACATATCCTTGGTCGTCGATAGATTTGTATGGCACCAAGTCCTCTAGCAACAATTGTTGTATCTCTGAATTTTATCCCTTGACGTCCACATTTTTGCTGCCAAAATCGCTCTTTCTGCCAGCCACTCAACATTCCAGCAACTTCTCCGTTGTCAATATCCGCAGTTTTCTGAAAGTTTCCAGAGATAGATTTTGAAGAATATGAACGCGCATGTTCCCTACCTAATATTTATTTTTATACCTTTCAGTATCTTACCCAATACCCCAAGCGAGTGTTTGTGTCCCATAGTACGATTTGTTATGAATAAATAATAATTGTATACTGTTTCAGCACACTTGGCATGTACGATTATTTTTTAAGTTGAACACTGCATCTGAGTTATTTTGAATGTTAAATGGCAGATTAAATGCTGAATGAGCTATTCTGCCTCCATTTAATTAAGTTGATACAATGCCAGATAATGCAACGGCCAATGCGATGCCAGTTTTTGATCGTATCTCAGCAAGAAGTAGAAATATTTTGCTAGCTCCATCTTGTGCGTCGAAAAAAAAAGAATCCCCCTTCTCTTCCCGAAACTGTCAGTATAATGCGGTCGTAAATTATTTTTTGTTCATCATTTAGTAGTGGAATGAAATAACATTGGTCTGGTGACATTAACCAACAACAGTCGAGCACTCAGTCTGCAGATTGACTGTATATACACCCAATTATTATAACTAGAGATGAAACGGATATCCGGTAACTATCCGGTATCCAGCCTATTCGGCCACCATAATACTACGTGGCCGAATACTGGATAGACATCCGGCCGATAAAAAAAAAAGCTGGATAAAAGAAACGTATTTTTGAGTAATTATTTGCTTATTTAGTAAGAATCACATTACTTAAATATAATTAGTTTAAGTATTCAATTTTAAATTACACAATAGTAAGTTAATGTAATACAGGGAAATTAATTGAATTAGTACATTTAGTACTCATACTGCACTAAGGGCAAATTATGATGAATAAATACTAATTTCTCCGCATTGAGAGGTAGCAGGCGGTTGCGTGCGATCAATTCGCACTGACGTGAGATAAAAATCCAGCTCACAGGTAATTGCATTTCTTTCTTCACGTTGCACTTGGTCAGTGTTGTTTTCATTTGCTACTTCATCAAAGCAGTCCCAAAATGTGTCATGAGCTTTGCAAGATAAAGTTGGCTCTGTTTCCTCTTCTCTACTCTTTTTAGCCGGTGTTGAACATGAACTGCTACTTGAAGACTCTTCACAAGGCATTTTCAAATATTCCAATAAGATCTCCTGGCGTGCTTTTGCAGCTTCAATCACCCCCAAGTAGTTTGTTTTGAATCTAGGGTCTAGATAAGTTGCAATCAAGTAGTTTGAGTCTTGACTTATGGAAGTAAAACGAGTTTCTAACTCAGCTTTTAACGAGGCTCGCATATGAAGGGCTTTAATAAATTGATACACTGCTCCATCAAATTCCACTGTTGAGCTGTCAAATTTATGAGCGTATCGTGATCAGCAACATACAATGATATGGCCCGCTTCTGTTCTAACAAACGCTCAATCGTGTAAAAAATGGAATTCCACCTAGTGCTAACATCTTGCACTAACTGATGCTCGGGTAAACTTAGCTCAGCTCCTCAGCAGTTTTTCTTGAGCTAGACCTGAGTGATTGAAGTGCGTCACAAGTCGCCTTCCAGCAGCAATTGTAGCTGTTACTTCAGTCTGGATTGTGTAAGCAAGTCCATATGTCAGATGTCACTGAAATAGCGAAGGCACTCGAAACGTTACGTTTGATTTTCTCGTAAATTCTATCATACATCTCAGGAACGATTTTTTAGGCAATATAAGTCCGGCTTGGCAGTTTATAGCGGGATAAAGCTTGTTCTAAGAGCCTGGTAAAACCGGCTCTTTCCACTATGGAGAATGGCTCGTTGTCGAGTGCAATCATTTCAGCTACTAAATAATGGTACTTTGTCGCTTTGGTATCATTTATATCCCAGAGCAATTTCCTTTCGTAAGATTCTGTCATAGTCAATTGCTTTTTTGCTACTGAAGATGAACTTGTCCCCGCAATGGCTAAAGAAACTGTAGTAGGCTCAACAGCTTTCCTGTCTTTATTCAAAGCACTAAATTCATCTGGATGTTTTGATTTTAAATGATTTTTCATTGCAGAAGTACCTAGAAAAAGTACTTAATTAGTGGTATAAATAAATAAAGGTAAAATTAGTAGGTATACCATAAAGATACTTCTATAAATAACATTAAACATTATATTTACTTAAAATAATATGTGCCTAACAACAACTAGATACTCGTAGATGGATAAACGATAAATTACAATAAAAAAACACAGCTTCATAGCTACCACTACCA